GAATCAATAGCTAGACTACCGTGACGGAGAACAAACTCTAGATCTGGAGCAAACACATGTCTCTAGCCAGATCTGGAGTGTCGAAATTAAATCAAAGGACAATAGTAGCAGATCTGGAAAACAGGTGTCGTGTTTCAACTTGCTGGTGAGGAAAATATAATCTGACTGACCATGGTTGGAGGGGCAATTCAATGAGTTGAGGACGAATAAGAAATCAATGAAACCATATAAAAATGATACCAAAATGGAAGCAAGACCTGAGAGGATGTCGGATCTATACTTACCGTCACACGAAACTGCTAGAAACGTCACCGAAGAACTAACCGTTGGAGGATGGATAGTCAGAAGATGAAGACCCGAGTCTGGTTCTCTAACAAGCTTGATGAAATTTTCCACCTTTCTGCCCAATATTTTTCTCTTATCAGTAGGATCTCACTGTTTTAGTGCGACCCCGCGGCTTAACTATTGAGAACCTACGTCCCACTCTCTTCTTAGTGTTTCTTGCAAAACAAATACTAGAAATGTGGCATATTCCACCAAAATGCTTTCCATCCTTTCCCTTTCTCGACAACCAAACACACCAAGGAACCAATTATCCTCCATGACTAACGGCTCCCTCCTCTGTAAATAGGAGAGCCTCTCAAATGTATAATTCTCTAACATCTTGCACCCCTATTTACTAAGTTCCTTAACTTGACCTAGTGGTGTCAATGGACCAGTTTTGGGTTGGACTCTGTCCAAATCAAAATCAATTTGGACAGATTGGATGGACCAATAAGACATTGAGTTTTTACGGATTGAACTGACCAATAAGACATTGGATTGGACATGGTCTGTGGATAATGAATTTACATTGGATTGAGGTAATATCTGGTCCAGAAGATAAGAACACAGGTGTCAATGGACCATGCTTGAGTTAGAACCAATCTAAATTAACATGAATTTGGACATATTGGACAGTCCAAACATTAAATTGGACCGATCCATAATGGTCTAAAATATTCATTGGACTGGATTGGATCAGGTCCATTTGTAACAGATTCGCATTGGACTGGATCGGATTGAACCAAATCCAGTATAATTGACACTCCTAGCTCGACCTCAACTCCAACCATGTTCTAACTTGATGGCCGGAGTCTCTGCCCCCAAGCAAGTGACTTCACATGCAATTGCGAGCTTTAGACGTATTTCCATATATCTCCTAGCTTTCCAAACCAAGTAGCATAAACTTCAAAATTAAATTGTTTTTAATCCCAATTTAGTCAATGGTTTAACCATCTAAGTCAATTGAGTCAATCTTTGATGTCATAAAACTTGAAATAAACAATTAAATATAAATAGATAAAAATATATAAAATAAAAATTTTTAAAAATTGCAGAAAAAGTTACTTGTCTCTATAATATTACATATTCATCATATTATTGATGAGAATGGTGATTGTGCATAATCTGTAAGCTCATAGCTGGAAGAAGACTTGAACCTTAATCGCATAGCAAGCTGGACCAAGCTACAAGATAGAGGATCAGAAAACCCGAGGTGGCTAACCTGGCAAGGTCGCTCCGATGCTTAAGTTAGTAGTGGGTTGTGCAAACTGAAAGTTTGTATGCTAGTAAGCTAGTGAGCAAATAATCGCGTGTACCTGAGTCTTGGGGGTTTATGCCCTTATATAGCTAGGCTACCGTAGGTCTCGCAAAATGCTCCTGGAATCCTCAGCCCATGACGTAGGGATCTGTTCCGCTTTGGAAGGGGGTAACGTACAAATTAATGAGGCTTACCATTTCCCTCCGATTCGGGCAGGGTAAGGACAAGGCCTATAGTTACGCGGCATGATCCTGAGAAGTTCGGAGACGACTGTCAAGCTCCTAGGTTCAGTTACATGGCACCTCGGTGTAAGTGGGTATCGAGGTGCTCCGGGTCCGAAGTGGCCAAGCACTCGAGGTCCCCCGATCTACTAACATGGCACTATGTGCTGATTTGTCATTTGGCTGGCAAGCCGCGCCCACATGTCCCTTACATATTAGGTCGAGCCAAATCACCCCTCATCAATTGCCCCCCCACTCCCCATGCTAGGGGTCCTGACCTAGTGAGGGGAGTTTATGGTGAGCCCAGGTGGATTTGGCATGACTTCCAAGTGGTTCAAATGGCGACTTTTCGGCCGAACCTTCATGACCTATTTGGCTCAACAAGAGAATACCCCAGATCGTGTACCAGGTACGCACGAATGCCACGCCATTTATAAACTCCGTGGACGTCAAATCGCGTGCGCAACCAATTTCAATCTCGGGAAGCATGCAGTCGGTTTTCACAAGAGCCGTCGGATTGTTTAGATCTCAACCATTGAGTCCTAGTCATGGTGGCTATAAATAAGGTCCAGAGGGGCCCATTTTTCTCGCCACATATTTCGTACTCGAGTTTGTTGAGGTTACGCTTTAGTCTTCCAGGTCGGCATTAGTTACCTTTTGCATCTGAGGCCTTTTCACTTCCTTCGGTCTTCTTGGTGAGTTCGTCTCTCTTTGTTTCCCTTTCCTTTTGTCTTGTTCCTCTATTTCGATATGTCTAGCGTTAGCTTAGGTAGTCTTTTTGACGGGAGTCAAGAGTCCGCCGGGGCCGTGGTGGGCACCTCGGTGCAGGCTATAGAGTTACACCCTGCAGAGGTGAATGCCTTAATGCAAGGTTTGGACTCTAACCCGTCTGAGGCGGACTCACCTTGGCAGGAGTTTGAGGCTTCCGGCAAGGGGGGCTCCACTTTGCGCTAAGCTCGGGGACCAGACAGCTTCGGTCCTTCCACGATGACGGTTGATAGGCTCCTGTCTCTGGTAGCTCGGTACAAGCTGCCCGATAACCTTGTGTACAGCATTCCCTTAGGTAGTTTTCCTTGGGATCACAGTCACGACGAGATTGTGGTGATTGAGGAGCAACTCGTAGCTGGGTTGTGATTCCCACTTCACCCTTTCATCATCGAGGTCGTCAAATTTTTTGACATCGCCATAGATCAGCTCCATCCAAACTTAATCCGTAACATTGTAGGTACCATCTTCCTTTTTCACGACTATAACCGGCCTCTGACCCTTGACATCTTTTCTCCGATCTGCTCCATTAAAAGGAACTCTGTCTCTGTTTTCCCTGAGCACAAGCAAAGTTATTACATGTCTCCCCGTCCTGGCTACAAAACTTTGCACGACCTTCCCAACAAAGTCCCGGCCTGGAAGAGGCGCTACTTCGTAGTTCATAATGCTGCGAGGTGGCCATTTCCAACCCACTGGAGACATTCCATTCAGGACCTTAGCATCAGGTTGGACAAAGAGACACAGGAGGAAGTCCGATCTTGGGTGAAGCTCGGGTTGAAGTTCGTAAACTTCATGTCCAAAGAGAAGCTTATACAAGCCGGGCTTAGTCCTCTTGGTAGGTCATTGTCTTGGTGCACGCACTAGTTTTCTTTTTCGTAGCTTGCCTTGATTTTGTAATTGATCTGCTCATTACTTTTTTACAAGAGCCATGGCTGACATCCCTACTGTCGAGCTCTTTGGAAGCATGAAGAGGGGGAAGAAGAGGAAGGCCTCCAAGAAGGCCCATCCCCATGAAGCTGTCACCACATCCAACGTCGACGTCGCTGTCCCCGAACATCCTCCCATCATTGACTTGGTCGAGGAAGACCAAGGTAGGGCTTCTTTGTCTCACCTACCCGAGGAGACTCCGGTGTCCGAGCCCCAGCCCACTTAGGCGGCCACCCCTTCGAGAGATGACTCTTCCCGGGCAACTCCAAGAATTTTGACTCCGAAGTTCAGTTTCCTCAAGAGTACATAAGGATGCGGTCTTCGCCGAGGAGGTCGTGCAATGGGTCGATCTGCCAGTGGCTTAGTTTGGGGCCAGAGCAGCAACTCACTGTATTGTGGTAGGTATCTGATCCTTGGGCTGTACTCCTTATTGTTCTTTCTTCGTACTTAGATTTTATTTCTTTCTTGGCAGGTGAACTCCGCAATTCATGCTCTTTCTTGCCAATTCGAAGTGCAACTGAAGCGGGCCCTCTATGCTGAAGAAACCTCTCGAATCATTCAATGCAAACTGGACTTAGCTCATGGCAAGATTCATAAGATGGAGAAGGATGTGCAAACTCAAAAGGAGTTGATCGTGCTACTGAGGGAGGAGAAGAAGAAGCTCAAGGAGTAATGGGAGGCCCTCCAGAGGGAAAAGGAGATCCTCGAGGAGCTCGTGAAGGAGTGCGTGGAGATCTTCAATGACATGATCAAGGATGATAGGGTTCAGGCCGTCGAGGAGTACAAATCTTCGGAGGAGCAGCGTAAGTTACTGATCGAGACTGGCACGGTGGCCTATCGCAAGGGCTTAAAGCTCAGCAGGTGGCTAACACGGCATGAGTTCCCTATGCTCGACCTCAGCGCTATCACCACATCCAAGGTCACCGGAGAGATGGCCCGGGAGGCTACTAATGACTCGAACTTAGAGGAGGAGAGTAACGATATCATCCTCGATGAAGAGACAGCGAAGGAGGTCGACGAAGATGCTTCCGTTGAGGACCGAATGGAGACCGACCACCTTGGTTTAGTTACTGATGGAGACGAGGAGCCCCACATCGACTAATGTTCTATCTGCCTCTTTTCTTGTACTGAGGTCTTTTTCCAGCTCGGCACCATAGCCCTTAGGCTTTGGGAGTGACTTATAGTCCTCTCTCTAGTTCAATATCCTTTTAACCAGCTTAGTGGTCTCGTGGACTTAGAAAAATTGTTTAGTCGTATTGGAGTCGCGAGCTCATAGATAGTATCTCCTCAAGTTGTCAACGTTCCAAGCCTGAGGTACTTGTTTCCCTTCCATGTTCTCGAGCTCATATGTGCCCTCTTTGAGCACTCATCTCACCTGGTACAAACCCTCCCAATTCGGTTCGAGCTTATGCACGCCGGGCTCAGGTACCATTACCTTGCTAAGCACCAGGTCACCAACTTGAAACTGTTGTTTCCTGACAGGCATTGTAGTACCAAGTTACTCACTACTGGTAAGTTGTAGTCCGGATATAGGCCAGGTCACGTATTTCTTCAATCAGATCCAAGTTGGTCCAGAGCTCATCGTCGTTCTTCTCTTGGTTGTATGCCTTGAGCCGCAACGTTGGTACTTTGATCTCCACCAGAATCACAACCTTCATTCCATACATGAGGTTGAAGGGCATTTCACCGGTCACAATCTTGATGGTCATCCTATAGGCCCAAAGGATACTGGGCAACTCATCCACCCACAACCCTTTAGCTCGCACTAAGCGAGCTTTTAGTTCGCGGAGAATAGCCCTGTTCGTCACTTTAGCCAATCCGCTCGCCTGGGGTGTGCCACCAAAGTGAAATTTCACTAAATCCCCATCTTGGTGCACCAATTCTGGAATTTGATTACTTTGAACTGATTCTCGTTGTCAGAGATCAGCACCTTGGGTAATCCGAAATGACAAACAATGTTCTTCTAGAAGAAGTTCTACACGTTTTGAGCTGTAATGCATACAAACGGCTCAGCCTCAACCCACTTTGTGAAGTAGTCCATTGCTATGACCAAGAATTTCTTCTGCCCTGTTGTCGGCGGAAATGGACCAAGGATGTTGATCCTCCGTTGCACAAAGGGCCACGGGCTGGTCAAGTACTTCAGATCGGCAATAGGTTGATGGAGGATGTTGGCATGCCTCTAAGATTTGTCGCATTTTTTGACAAGCTTGAGTATGTCGGCCTTCATGGTAGGTTAGTAGTAGCCTTGCCTTAGTGCTTTTTGGGCAAGCGCTCTACCCCCCAAGTGTCCTCCACATAGTCCTTCATGGATGTCGCAAAGTACTAGTTCGGCTTTTGAAGGTCGCAAGCAATTTAGGTAGGGGAGTGTGAAGGACCTCTTGTACAACCGTTCATCGACAAGGACGTAGTGAGATGATTGACGCTCTACCCTTCGAGCTGCATTGCATTCTTCTGGTAGGGTCCCGTGAAGTAGATAATCAATGTGCGGGTCAACCCAGCTCGGTTCTACAGGCAGCATGGGAACGACCTCTTCTACCCCCCAAAGAATGCTAGGCCGAGGCAGGTCTTCTATATATACAGTTCTTATTGTGTTGTCGTTAGTACTTGCTAATTGTGATAGGGCGTCAGCCTCAATGTTCTCAAACCACGGTACCTGCCTAATGAACCAAGAATGAAAGCCTGGTTGGATTTCTTTGACCTTGGCTAGGTAAGGTGCCATAGTTGAATCGTGAGCTTCATAGTCACCGTTGACTTGGTTTACTACCAGCTAAGAGTCGATGCACACGACGAGGTGTTTTACACCCATCTCCTTCACTAAGTATAGCCTAGCAATTAGTGTCTTGTACTCCGCCTCATTGTTCAACGCCTCGAATCCGAACTGGAGAGCATATTCCAACTTTACCTCATTCGGGCCGTATAGTATTAGTCCAGCACCACTTCCTCACTGGTTAGACGAGCCGTCTACGTGGAGGATCCAGGGCTCCTCATCCCAGGTCAGTCCTACCCTGATCGGGACCGATGCCGCGCTGGTTGACGCTTCTAATGCGCCAGTTCAAGGGCTGGCATGCTGAACGTACATTCTGCTATGAAGTTCGCCAAGACTTGGGCTTTGATTGTTGGACGTGGCTCGAACTGGATGTCGTATTCTCTTAGCTCGATGGACCACTTTGTCAGCCTCCCTAACACCACGAGCTTAAGCAAAATGTGCCCCAGGGGTTTGTTGGTGAGGACGACAATGGTGTGGGATTGGAAGTATGGATGTAGTTTCCGAGCTGCTAGTACTAGCACATAAGCTAGCTTCTCGATGTCGAGATATCTGGTTTTTGCATCCTATGAAACTTTGCTTACATAGTAGATTGGTCGTTGGACCTGGTCTACTTCTTTGATTAGTACCGAGCCGACCACCTCGTCACTCGCAGAGAGGTACAGATTCAATTCGTCTCCTTCCTCAGGTCGGGTCAAAACTGAGGTGGTACTTAGATATCTTTTTATCTCATCAAACGCAAGCTAGCACTCTTCGGTCCATGCAAAGTCTTCATTCTTTTTTATTGCTTTAAAGAAGGGTAGGCACCGTCCTGCCGATTTAGACATAAATCAACTCAAGGAAACTACCCAGTCTATGAGTCTTTGAACCTCCTTTATTTTTTGGGGCAGTCTCATATCTAAAATGGCCTTAATCTTACCAGGGTTGGCTTCGATGCCACGTTGGTTCACTATGTAACCGAGGAATTTGCCCGATGTGACCCCGAAGACACACTTGTTTGGATTAAGTTTCATGTTAAGTTTCCTTAGAATTTGAAAAACCAAATTTAAATCATCAATTAAAGAGCTCAAGAATTGGGTCTTTACAACCATGTCATCAACATAACACTCAATCTTATTGCCAATCAAAGATTTGAAAATTTTATTTAGAAGTTGCTAGAAAGTTGCTCCAACATTTTTCAAACTGAAGGGCATGACTTTATAACAGTATAGCCCTAGCTTAGTTACAAGGTAGTCTTGTCCTGATCAGCTAAGTCCATCCTAATTTGATTGTAGTCGGAGTAGGCGTCCATAAAGCTCAGCAACTCGTGCCCCGAGGTCGCATCTACCAGGCGGTCTATTCTGGGAAGGGGAAAGCAATCCTTTGGGCAAGCTTTGTTCAGGTCGATGTAGTTGACGCACATGCACCATTTTCCATTGGCCTTCTTCACCAGCATGTCGTTGGCCACCCAGCTTGGGTAATGGACCTCCCTGACAAAGTCTACAGCAAGGAACTTCCCGACCTCCTCATTGACTACCCTTCACTACTCCGGGGTGAGGTTGCATTTTCTTTGTCTAACTGGCCTAACTAAAGGGTCCACATTTAACTTGTGAGTAATCACACTATGGTTGATGCCGGGAATCTCAGCCGTGTACCAAGCAAAAACATCTAAATTATTAAGTAAGAAACTTACTAGTCGTGTTCGGAGCGGTTCGATTATCAGGGCACCAATCTGGAGAGTCTTAGTCGGCTCTGTCTTGGAAACTGGTATGTGGATTGTCTCCCCCATCGGGGCTGCTCGCTCATCGATGTAGTCTGCTGGTTGTTCTAGATCGACATCTTCCGCCAGTCTCGCCTTTCCTTTTAGTGTAGCCACATAGCACTTGTGGGACTCAAATTGACCGCCTCATACAAACTCTACTCTGTAATCCATTGGGAACTTCATCGCCAAGTAGTATGTCGATACTATTGCTCGCAAGACGTGTTGGATGGGCCGACCCACGATCACATTGTAGGGGGACGGAGTCACGACCACCAGAAAGGTATGCTCAAGCCGCACTATGTTCGGCCACGTTTCTGCTTCTACTAGTACCGTGATCCGACCAAGGGGTCTGACTTCTTCACCGCTGAATCCCAGCAAGGGTGTATCTGTTGGCTCTAAGTCACTTTGCTTCAGCTGTAGCCTGTTGAAAGTCCCTTTAAATAGGATGTTGGCTGAACTGCATGAGTCCACTAGAATCTGCTTCACTTCAAAGTCATTAATGATGAGCTTCACCACAAGAGTATCATCATGAGGGTACTGCATCCCACGTGAATCATCCTTGGTGAAATAGATAAGCTCTTCTATCCGAGGTCGTTTTAGTGGGTTTTCTACTTTGTGCTTCAATTCTCTAACCGAGGTCTTCTTCGCTGCTATAGTACACCCCGCTACAATGGATCCGTCGGTGATCATGTTGACCACCCCGGGATCGGTCTTTCTTCTATTAGCTTCCAAGGTGGTTGCGCATTCTCTCTGCTTGACTCTAGAGCGTCTCTCCTCCGGTCTCCTTGCTGGTCTCCATGCCAGTCCCCCTGTCCTTTCTCTTCGCACAAGATGTAGTTCTTCGGGTATCCACAGTGAATGAGCTCTTTGATTTTGTTGCAGAGGTTTCGACAGTTCTTTGTGCTGTGACCATGGTCCCGATGAAAGTGACAGTAAACGCTCGGGTTCCTAGTCGTTGGGTCTCCCTGTAGCTTGGGTGGCCATTTGACGAAGGAGGAGTCCTTAATTTCCATCAGGATCTCTCCTCGCTTTGCATTGAGGGGAGTATAGTTGGTTCTTTCTACAAGAGGAGTCCTGGATTACCAACCCGACCTATAGCTTCAGGAGGGGGACTTACTCTTGAAGCGAGGTGACTTATTTCTTCTCCTTGGTGACTTGCTCTTCTTCCTTTTGTGTTTGTCGTATCTCATACTGTCTTCTTCTCTCTTTCTCTTCTCGCCTTGTTGGCCTTCCTATTTCTGGCTGACCTCTTCTTCGGTGCTTATGAATCTCTCGGCTAATGGGTCAAGCTCCTTGTAATAGTCTTCGGCCGATTCACTCCGACGTGCCGCCAGAACTCCTTGTGTGTAACTCTTTTCCGAGCTGCGGTGAGGTGCATTACTGGGTCAAGCTCCGGTATCTGTAAGCATGTTTCATTGAAATGCTTGATGTAGCTTCGGATCAAGTCGCCTTCCCTTTGCACCATGTTCAAAAGGCTTTCATGTAACTTGGGCAATTCTTACTAGTGATGAAGTGGGCTATGAACATATCCACGAACTATGCCCAACTTCTGATGGAGCCTAGAGCGAGGTTCATGTATCAAGTCCGGGCTAATCCTTTGAAAGTGGTGGATGAAGCCATGCACATACATGCTTTGTCTGCCCTGATGAGATGCATTTGAGACTGAATGCGTCTACATGATCGCTGGGGTCGTAGGACTTGTCGTACTTGTCCAACGGAGGTAGCATGAAATCTTTTGGCATCGGAACTGATGGGAATAAAAAATATCATATTTTTATCCCAAAATATTCATTCTTTTACATTAAATTAGCACTTAATTGGACTCATTACTCTTGTATTTTGATTCAGGGCAAGCAAGAAGGCAAATGGAGGAAAACAAGGCTAATCGGATGATTTTGCATAGTTTCAACACCGTTCAGTAAACGAGGCATAATTCTCAACTCCGGACTCCGATTGGGATGATTCAAGATGCAATGTAAAGATAAGGGAGAACTCCACAACTCTAGTGTTTTGGGTTTTGGCAGATTCGGTATGAATCAAGGTCAAAATCGGGCCCGAAGTCGGAACCAATTTGTAGTAAAGCCCAGTTCACAGTTGAAGCCCAATTCGCAGGAAAGCCTTGTAACGGCCCAAGTTATTAAAGAGCCCAACTCGAATTTAAGAATAAAGAGTCCCATCAGATTCAAATTTCAAATGTAATCCTAAAAGGATAAGATGATTGAGATTAGATTAGTAGATAAGAGAGATTACTAGATAAGAGACAGGATAGGATTAGATCAAAACTGATTAGAACTTTCTATTTTTGAGGATAATCTCCTAAGAGGAGTTGGAGAGAGACCCTCCTTCTAAAGCTATATAAAGGGGC